GGGGTACCCCTTGGAAAAATTTCGGAAAAATCGAAAATTTTTTGTTGTTGTTTATTATTAGCAATGTTCTTCCGACGTCTGATTTCTTTTTAAAAAATGCGTTTCTAAAGTGCATAAACTTTTGGGATTGACTGTATAGCCAATACATCCTTAAACGAGGTTCGGCAGTCAAATTTCCGTGTAATTTACAATGCAAATATTCATGGATAACTTGTTTTCATCGCGAGGGCCTTAGGATTTATCAAAACCGTGAATTTTTTCGCAATAATTTGTATGTAAATGATCCTCGGTTACCTCCGGCAATGCCAACTAGACATTTGTCTCGACTGACAATGTCGCGACACCTATTTCTGGGATAAATTCGAGTCGACCGAAGACATTTCTCTGTTTGACAAGAGAAACCTAAACAAATGGCTGTCTTCAAATCACGTATAGAACGGAATAGACACGCGCCACGCTTTCGTAGAGATGGAAAAGTGATTTTCCGTCTCTTTGGAAGATGCGTGATTTTTCGAGGAGGACAATGCTCGAGAGTGAAACTGTTTGTATCTCAAGAAAGCGTAATGAGCTGCGATCTGTCGGTGGAATGGATAATGCGCATTCTACTTGGCACGCAATCAATCTCAAATAGCGGAATGGTGTGAGTGAAAATTTTAATCATTAATAAAAAAATCTCATGAACAAACTAGCTTCGTTAGACGAGAGCAGATTATGTGACGGAAACACGACGAATGATGAGAACGACGATTTTTTCGAATGACGACAAGCAAAAAACGAAATACGTATTAGGTAGCAGCAATTATTAATCATGAAATTAGTGTCAAGACGTGGGATAATAGTCGGTCTCGCGCGAGTATCGTAGAAGCGACCCGACCTCTGGAGGAAACAGCATCGGCTGCGACCGAAGGATAACGAGCGCCGATCATCTTTATTTGTTCGAGAGAAAATTCCTGCGGTTCGCGAGTTCTCGCGAAGAAAGAATTTCGTCATGCTCAGCGGCGATCTCGATCGTCGCTCGACCGCAGAATAGCGATCGCGCTGAGTCATTCATGCTTTAGAAGGAACATCGCAAATAAAAATGATAACAGAACCGGTGAATTATTTATTGTTAAACATAGAAATGTCTTTTTGGAAATTATGAAACCTTTCGAAAGAGACAGAGAGGCAATTATAATTGTTTGCGATTTTTCTGGGTATTCGCTGGCTAATCAGAGTCTCCATTTATGGGGTCGGGTTAACTGTGCCTCGTAATCGTTCTATTGTGCGATCCGCAGTGACCGATTTTACGTCTTCGCGGATTTTCCTCGAATTTTCACTTTTCGTGGGACAGAAGTAACTGTATCTAACAAGGCACTGTGCTCGGTAGTAGCGCAGGAAAGTGGAGCTTCCTAGACCGGAAGTACGAAAAATGCTGGGAGGTCGACGCTCCACTCGCTTTATATTCCACTCGCACCGCATCTGCCCACTTAATTAATTAACATGATTCCATCGTGATAGTCGCTCACAAGTACACTGCTTCATTTCGAGAAGTTATGCACAGAGAACATACCGTTCCCATGGGACGTCAGTAAAATTTATTATCCTCTTCGGAGAACGTTTCAATTTTTGTTTCACCTTGGAAAGATCGCCGTTCATTACTCACGAGAGCATTCGTGGTTAAAGACGATTCCAAAGAACAGACGTTGATTAAAATGGTTTGTAAATTTTAATGAAGATCGATTGGATTTTCTTTGCGTAAACCGAAATGACGCACAAAGGCTAGCGTTAAAAGTGTTGGAGGACGAAATTTTGGAGATTCGACTTCCTGTGTAATAAATTTGTTTGATTCTCTCATAATAACGAACCTGGTTCTTTCCACGGTGCGTACGTGCTCGGGATATTAAACAGACGATTCGCTATCGACTGGGCAGGTTCCAAGTAATAGAAACAGGAATGGTACGAGCGTAAATAAAATAGTTGCGCCTCACAAGGTTCCGTGCAAGCCCTTCTCGAATTGAAATCTAACGAGTGCAGCTCATAAAGCGATATCAAAAGGTGCGGTGAAAGGTGTCGGTCGAATTACGCGTGGGCAGCTCGGTGCAACCGTTTGTCGCAGTTTACGTGTCCCTGTTATGTGAAAGCGTCACGCTTCTGCATCAGATTTAATTACTATTCTATACCGATCCGACGAATTCTCTTCCGTTCTGTCTTACGTAAAACCTCGAGCCATCCACATCGAAATGAAACTGACTTCCACTCGAACAGTCAACGGAGACGAACCGGCCGGCACTTTGCGTAGAAAATATTTCAAGAATATAACAACTGGCCGAGTGGAATACTGTGATAAACTGAAATTTCGTTTCCTGGGGAGTCGACGATTAAATAGAAGAAACGGAAGTACCGTTAGGTGCCCACGTATCTATTGTCGGCTTTCTCGATTCGGTCACGCCACGTGGACGAATGGAACGGAACCGAACGCATAGAAATGCATCTCTCGTGTACGCGTACACGTAATCCGGATTATTCAAGCCGGGATTCACGTTACTCGTGTCGTCGTACGAAAAATCGAAAGTGCCCGCTCGAGATTAACAGTGCTCGCGGGAAATATGTTTCTGGGTCACTCGTGACTCGCTGACCGAAGATGATGACTTTCACGGTCTTAAAACCCGGCGAGGAGACGAATTCTTCATGAATTTTTTTTAATCGGGTTATTGGTGTTTTATTTATAACGGTTTTCCCATCGGTCGGTACTAAAGAATCTATTGCAATACAAACGTTCCATTGTGTAAATTCAAGCTGTCTGCCTATATTTGAATGGCTTTTAAGTAATACTGAACGTTGTGGTTACAAGGATCATCCGATGTATCACCTGTAGCGTAGACGATCGTTACATCGTCTCGTTTCGAAGTAGGCCAGTTGGACGGATCTCACGAGCCGGTGTATAAAAATTTGTACGATCAACGAATCTGCATGCGTATCAAGTGTCAACTTCCTCGTTACGCTTCCTCGTCTCTCGCGTTTCGTAAGATATACATCGCAACTTCGACGCGTTGCACCTACCGGCTTTGTCATACGTGAAAGAGGAAGTACCGCAAGCGAATTTGTACCAGGAGTTAGATGATGAGCGTGAACCAGATCTCTGGTGTCACGCTTCGCCGCGGAATCGAATCTCGAACAGATCACATCGATTTCCACGCTGGCGAAAAATCGCTTGCAATTGCGCGACAAACGTTTCGAATCATTGACGGAATTACCTCGGGCTGACGTTTATTAAGATTTTTCTTGGCGTCCTCGGTTCTACTTGGACGGAGAATCACAGAGCCGAGACACTTTGACGAGCTGACGTCGCGTTTCACGACGCGAATCGAATCGGGAAGACGCGTTAACGTTGATAAAATTTACACTGTCACACATTCGATGACCGTGGAACCTCGTAAAACGGTCAAAGTGACGTTCCCTCCACTTTACGCGCTCCGGTGGACCGCGCTCAAACGTTCCCTTTGTTTCACAGGCTTCGCGAGAGGCACGGACAATGGGAAACGGGATCGGGCGAGAATCACGATTTTAGCGTGCACGATGGAGGAAGTACGGAGCCTCGGAGTGCACGGACGAGGACGCCCGAACCGTATGAACGTCTTTCTCGCACTGAGAGACGAGTCCGGTTGAGCAATAACAAGCGGACACACCGGAGTCCGAGCACTAACACATTCTACTGACCGCCGACGCACCTCCCAGGGGTATTCACGTACGCGCGCGCGCACGCGATTCTTCCCCTCCTACAGGGTAAATCAGTCTTATTCTCCTACTTACCATATTTTAAACAGAAATAGAACAAGTGAAAAAGAAGCAGCTATAGATCGGTGTAATGAAAACGAGTAATTACGTTCATCTCATTGCGTAAACGTGTTTTGCTGAGCAGTCAACCTTCCTCAAAACGGATGGTACTTAGGGGAAAAAAAAGGATTAACAATACAGCTCCGAGATATTGAGTGCATGTAAACATATTTCTGATAAAACAGGATATGTGTATTTAATTCTTATTTCTGAGAAAGAAATTAATTTGTCATATTCATTCATCATTTGAACGAGACTGTCCACCGTCCACTTCTCCTTAGGAATCTCATTCCCCTAGCAACAAAGATGCACGGGAAACACACGCTATCGCCGGTCACCTCGCGGTTTCAATGTCTGACCAGTACGACGCTCGTTCTACTGAAATTCGGCTGGCCCGAGACAGCCATCGCGACTCTATCGATTTTCTCGAATAGAGCCCCGAATCGTGGCTTCGCCGAGAGGCTTATGAAGCGGTTGGCAGCATTGCTCGGACTAAACCCTTTCGGTCCGGCGTGCCAGATTCCAACGATCGTGTTTTTCTTTATACTTTCCGTCGCGCCGCTAAGAAACTCGTCGACCGACTTCGAACGACAGTTGGTTATTATCCGGTGATTGATTTGCATAGGTCTTTCAGATCACGGCAGATCCAGTGTAATCAGACATTAATTCTTTACATGATCCTATCGATCGTCCCTGACTAATTGCGCGCAAATTAAATTTTTACAGATCACGTAAAACGATCTCATAATTTAATGTTCAAACAGAATTAATGATCGAATCAGTAAAAGGAATTTGTTTATGTCAATATGAATTGGACAGGGTTTTTAGCAATGTATTTCGTGGTATTAAAGTTGGATTTTGAAACACCTGTTCACCCGACAGGTTTTACCTTACTGCGCGCATTCAAATGCATAATTCTTGCATATTAGGTACCGAACGCATACAGAGATTCGTGTGTGCATTCGTCTCACCTAAGATTTGCTCCTCGACCAGAGTACAGTAACTATAAAAAGTATTCGCAGCATCTAAATGTCATGTACAATTTAATAAAATTTTAATCACATGAAAATTAGCAGTCTGATCTTTGAATATTTCAATCGAGCAGGTGAAAACAGATGAAGATTTTAATCAAACATGAAACCGCGTGGCAGCAAGGGGAATAAGTGTCAGGAGAAAACGATAAAATAGAAGTAACTCTTGAATTTACATTCATTATTAACGTCGATGCAATCTGGTAAAAGATCCAACTTTTTGTAGCCACTGTAGCTTTCGTTTCGACTGATCGCGGGGCCGACGCGCACGTGTTAGTGCTCGTGCACGCACTTTTCCTGGCTTGGTCGTCGTACGTCGTGTGTCGCAAATCGAAAGTGCGCGGCATGCAGTTGGTCGACGCAGTGCCGTCATCTTCCGCGTGGCGAGGGTCCCCCTTATGCATTCGCGTTGCGCAAACATTTGCAATTTCAAACTGATCGCTAAGATATTTGCCGTGAAATTGTTGCATTTCGCTCTATTGCGACACGCGTCTCTCCCTTTGTGTTCGAGCTTCCGGTCCAATGTGCAACGTTCGTTCATAAAATTGAAAGGAATTCGGGTTTCCTCGATGCGATTAGAGAAGCCGACCATTTAACATTGTCCTGATAATTATTTTCGACAGTCGTCGTAATTCCATTTGCGAAAGGAACGTTTTAAAGCACTCTCTCTCTACAATTCGCGGCAACTATTTACATAAAACAGAGACGATGTTGAAACCATAGTTCCAAGAATAGAATCTCGTTCACCCTGTATGCATAAAGGAGGGTGTTAATTTCATGGGCACTGAATCAGCGGACGACCGTTCTCTATTCTCCGCGATAACTCGGATTCCATCTCATGTATAATTTCTAGCACGTAAACGATCAGAGATTCCATTTACGCGTACCGTGGAGCCATTATGATCCTAACGCGAATGATAATCGTATTTGATGAGTTCGCTTTACAAACAGGTACATTTGCATCTCGGAGACTGAGTACTTTTATACTTTTGTATTCTACATAACAAAGTTGAAATGTTCAAGTATTTTTTCTTAATTCGATAATTACTATTGCGTTCGCGGTTTCTTGTCCATCAGTGATTATCGCAGATCGAAAAAAGTTGTTAGTTCATTATTAAATATTAATTACATACATAAGTAGTACGTCAGTAAACGAATGCATAAATGCATAACGCTGATGAAAAAAGCGTGATAAAAACCTCTCAGTTTCATATGCTTTTATTAAGACTCATAAAAGAACGACAGTTGCCTGACGATTTCATTCAATGCCTCGATCAGCGCATTTCCATTTAAATATAACGAAACGTTAAAAAAAGGGGAGGACGTACAAGGAATATTTTTTAATATCTACAAGGATGAATCTGTTTGTAATATTTAATTCATCGTCGCCTCGCTGATTGACGCGTTCAGACGCGTCTGTGTTAAAATGAAAATCAGAATGAAGTAGCAAATATGGTAACCGTAAGGTAAACATTCGTGTCGGTACACGCAAGTAATTTTTTCCCCAGAGTTCTTAAAACCTGTTACAAAGAAAACAGGTTCGCGAGTCCAAGGCAGTTATTATTTAAAAGCGCGCGCGTACACTATCACCGCGATCATTCCACGTTCGTTATAATTTGTATCATTTCTTGCACCAGTTTCCCGTCGGTCACCATAGGCATGCAATCCTTTTTGCCAATTTTTACTCTGCTCATGCCGCGAGCCTTTATTCCGGCAGACGCGTGAAATTCTTTCGCCCCGGACTCTTTCTTTATCCTCAAAATATTCTCTCTGTTGATGCCCGAGCCCGGCATCACGATTATTCTGTTCCGAGCCTTTTGGACGAGCTTTTGGAGCAATTGTAATCCTTCCTCCGCGGTGTCCTTCTGGCCGGAGGTCAGAATCCTTTCGAAACCGAGATCAATCAAGACTTCCAACGATCTCAAGGGGTCGTTGACCTCGTCGAAGGCTCGGTGAAAGGTCACGGGCAGCGGTCTGGCGGCCGACAGGACGTCCTTACAAGACTCGACATCGATTTCGTTCTCTGACGTCAATGCGCCGAACACGAAACCATCGGCGCCGCAATCTTTCAAAATCCGCAGATCCTGCAGCATGACCTCCATCTCCTCCTTGCTGTACACGAAACCCCCGGACCTGGCGCGTATCATTGCATAGAGTGGCGATGGTGAGAAGCTCTTGATCTTTTGTAACAGTCCGGGGGTAGGTGTCAGGCCACCCTCCGAAAGGGCGGAACAAATCTCGAGCCTCGTCGCGCCGCCCTCGATCGCGTTCCTCGCAGATTCTAAAGAATCGATGCAAACTTCCATCTGGAACGTAAAGTAAAAATAATTGTCGCCTTCGACGTATCCAATCGTTAAAATATCATTTGCATATGTTTTTTGCCGTTGATACTTTAGACACCTTTATGTAACGGATAGATGCAAAAACAAGTCGCATCTTCTACGATGTTTCGATGTGTGCAAACAAATTATGCAATTATTTTTGCACCGAGGTAAGAGAAGTAGTTGTTGGAAGCTGTGATAGCGAGTCACTTACTGTCAGTTCGTAATCGTTGCCAACTTGCCGCTCGGACAAAAGTCACTAGACTGTACCCTAACGATAAGGTCCCGTTATCAATGCAAGACACTCCTTCTTCCAATAAATTTGTATTAATAGGTAAGAGAGACCAATGATAATCACAGTTTTCCCGATGCTCGACGAAGCGGTTGATCCAACGGTTAAAAGTAAACAGCGATGAACGATGAAACGAACACTTTTAAACAAATAATAAACGCACTCGAGGATCGATGATGTGTTATTTGCACGACCCGTTCGCCATCTGTAAAATTGATTCGAGTTGGCTGGAGAACTCGAGGCAGATAAGATTATTTAGGGAGATATTAGCCGTTTCGTTCTGTCCATAATTTATTTATTTATATATGATACAAAAATTTATTGTTATACTCTGCAATAATCCAAACCAGTAATTTAACAGATTATTGATCCGTCGAACAGTACAGTAACTATATTTATTCTGATCAGGCGAGAGAGAATATCATCGAATATATAGTATAAAAAAAGGTTTTGGAAAAAGGGATAATATAATCCGTTTATTTAAGAATGTGTAATGAAACACGAGGTTTTATAAAGCGCAATGAAATTCTGTATTATACAACACATATATAATAAAGTAATACCAAGAGTTATACAAGTAGAAAATAATAATAATATTAATAATATAATAATAATAATAATAATAATAATAATAATAAATGTAACAAATATTTAAGCAGGATTTCTATAATAAGGCATTGGCAATAGAGGGCCTAGAGGTCTAGAAAATAAAATACTTATAAATGACAGCAAGGGTTTGAAGGTGGATGGACGTGTCGCGAGTCTTATCGGTTTATTCGATAAATTGTTCAGTCGTAAAGAGCCGGGAGGGCTGAAACGATTCGCGATCAATTCGCGAGCGACCTGACGCGGTCGTCTTTGGAAAAAGAAAAGATCCTTCAGCCGAACAAAATTCGCGTCATCGGCTTCGTTCTATGATCGGTTTTTTTTTTACAGTCGGTTCTTCCATTTCGTATTTCCCTTCTCTCCTAATTACAATCAAAGATCGCCGTTTGATACGGCGATGGGCGCTGGGCTCGTCGAATTGCTCGAGCTGCTTGACCATTTGTTCTTGTGTGGATCCACGCCGAAACCCTCGTCGTAGTTACCCCGCGTGATGAACAATTGCTTGAAGTGCGGGATGCAGTACAGTTTACCGTTGTTCAACGTAAACGTATCCATCCTGTTTGGAAAAGAACGGTCATTCTTACTGTTCGGGCGTGACAAGGGCTTCGGCCAATAATTGTCAATCATTTTTATGACTACGTCGATGTAATCGGTGCTAGAGAAAGGAGAGAGAGAGAGAGAGAGAGAAAAAGAAAAAGAGATTTACAGAAGAGAGGACGTTACCTTAGCACGCAATTGCACTGGAGACACCGGAAGCACTGTTTGTGAAATATTTTGTTATTTGTCTCCACCTTTTCTAGGGGGTACACTTTCTTTTCGCAGCTCTCGCACACGTCCGTACAGCTCGCCTGTATCTCCTGCGTTCCAATTTTCCAGAATTGGAAGAAAGCAAAATAAGTGGTGTGAACAAAAAAAAAAGAGAGGAGCAAATGGTGCCGGATGAATGTGCGATTATTGAAAGAAACGTTGGAAAACGTGAAATTCAGAGAGGAGGTAGGAAACGCGTTGCACTGCTTGCGAAATCTCATTCCAATTTTTTCCGCGATTCATCGCACTGATCGTGTTTTTCTGTCAGGATGTGCCCTTTTATTTAATTGTTTGCAATATGATTCGTAATAAATTGTTACACGTGGAAGGTAAAAGGTAAAAGAACAATATAATAATATCATACGATTCGCTAAAAATGATTGCATACAATCGAAATTGTGCAAATGAAACCGTCGCATAGTAGGCCGTGAAAATCAAGCGATCGATCGGTCAACTAATTTGCTCTCTCGCGAATACGTACACATAAATATTTCAATCGCCGATTAACAACAAACAATCGTTGCACTTCCGTACACGAACTTATTGCACATAATTTCCGTTCCGTCGAGAGGAGAACAAGAATCTCGTTGACGACGAAAACTCGCATACAGAATGTATCATACATCTACCTAATACACCTTTTCGATTTCATCCTCTTCGCGCATTGAATACCCGAGAACTTTTGATTAAAAAAAGCGTTAATGCCTCTAAAAATTCTGCACCACCCTAGAGCCTCTCGGCTCGGGAAAAGAAATGGTCTCCGTAGGGACCCTGAAATTGCACCTCGATTTTCTCTCTCGCACACACGCACACCGTCCATACTTTCTATGCAATTCCTTCGTTTCGAGTTAGAGGAGGAGTCACCAATTTAAGCTCTAACTAAATCCCGTATCTCGTTTCAAGCACGATCGAAATCAATTTCAGGGACTTGTTCCCTCTCCTGTCTGGTGCGTTCTAAATAGATCAAGGGGATCGATACACGTCGTTCTTCTATATCAATGATAAATATAATATATATTATATTTGTATGTATACGTAACGCGCGCCATCGATGAAAAATCTCTGTCTTCGTGGAAGTAAGATATTGCAACACCGAACGATTGTTTCATGGGAAAGCCTGATTCTGTAGAGAGTTTCTCGCACTGACGTCGAAGTCTGAAAAATAATGAACTGATCCGAGAATTTTCACCGACGGCGCATACATGCGTACTGTGCGTCCGCGTTGGCAATACTGAAGGAATTTATTCCTCTCATTCTCTTCCTCGCGCCGCTGCGGAGGTGCTTAATTCTACGCCGAGACTCCCTCAGTCCATCCGAACTTTATAAAAATTATATAAAAAGCTTATTCGAAAGTCTGGAGTTTTAATCCCGTGCGCGAGGAACGGATCGTGCTCGCACACGTTCAATTCACTGGCTGGATCGTACGACAATATAAGTCGCTTGATACTCGAGCCTTTCTCACCGACTTTTGGAACTTGATGCCAGTTGTTGTACTAACTTCTGTATAAACGCGTAAAAATGTATATATAGCAGATTTATATTTGTAAAAATGATATTGCGATTTCGTGGGACGTGTCGGTGAGATTCGACGAGTAACAGGCGACGAGTATTTCCCTCGTTCCTGCTTTTCGATTTTTCATATCCGACGATGGCCTGCCGGATCTGAAAAGACTCGAAACTGTATAAAGCCCTCGAAAAGCTCAGTATATCCTAAGTACAGTTGGAGATTGACTCGAATTTCGAGATCAGGTCTTTCTCGTGTTCCATTGTCCAGTTTAAGTCGCAGATATCTTCTCAAAGTGTTCCTCAGAATTTCCCGTTCTCTCGATCTTCGCTTGGCACTCGCAAAAGGATTTCTCGCTGGACGAGGTTCCCGACGACGACAGGCAGGGAAGAATCTGTGCTTGCCATCGTTCAAAATAATTTGGCACCTTTTCACGTTCGAACAATCCGGTCTGCCTACACGCTTTTCACCTGACAGTGACATTCATGATTCGTTTGGCACGAATAATAATGGTTGCTCGATCTGCCTGCGTCGTGGAACGCTTCGCCCGTACAAACTCTCGTTACGTCCGTCGTAAAAATATGAAAAATTGTTCTCGTGTAAAAAGGTGAGTTGAAAATCGTGCTTGACGACCAACTGACGCGTGACGGCACGTTCAAGCAAAATGAGTTAGCGTTAATTATACTCTACCCTATAGATACGTCGAGCATAAAACGTGCGAGTCGTGAAATCAAGGGGGAAATCAACTGGCAAAACCTCTTCAAACGCAAATGATTGATATTCTCCCAGTGCAATATATTTACAAAAGAAAGCGTAAAACGTACACTAAATATGTTGTACAATTCAGTATGTCAGAATTAATTTCGTCTCGATCGTTGCATGAACTCCGAGGTGTCGATGCTCGACGTATCGTTCGTTGCCTCTCGCGTTGACGGTACGATATGATACAGTAGCTAAACTAGATTCACTAAAAGAACGCTTGTTAGAAAAAGACTTCTAAAAAACGTAAAAACCGCACGATATAATCCGGACGACGAAGAAGCTGTCGTTTTTCCTTATCTCAACGAGTTCGCATCCTCCTTACGCGCGCGTGCTCTCTAATTCTAATTCGCTCTTCTTCGTCAGGCCCCTTGGGTCCGTCGCGATCCTCCACGTCCGGTCTTCTCTTACTGTTCGTTCAACACACAGAATAGTATCACTGATCCGTGTTACAGAAAATAAACTGGCCAACACTCTTTCCGCAGGCGTCAAGACCAAAATAATCGACACACGTCACTCTAACTAATCATGCGTGGAACTTAATACGTGAGCGTTTTCATGTAAATTGATTTGCATTTCTTTTCTCTTTTTGTCGAGGTCCAGTCTCTTTTGTCCTCTTCGGATAAAACGAAACTAAAATTCGTGGTATCTCGTGTACGTTCAAAGAATCCCTGATTCGCTTTTGTACGCAAAGGGACATCATTATGTTTATGCATATGTTGCCTGTTAAAGATCGATTACTGATTCTTTCAGCGTACCACAGATTCAAATGTTTGCGTGCACACAAAGTACAGTCCATTCATTGTTACAAAATCTTATAAAAGAAAATAACATCGAAACGTATATTGTAACTAAATATAAATAGCGTTACGTTCCTGTCGTCACAGGGCAATCGTGCTTTAATTAAAATAAAATACACACTCGTTACGGACAAATTCGTATACTGACAAAACACGACATGCTTGAACTAAAGGAAAAAAAACACGCAGAAAATGCAGTGCAGTAAATCGGCGTACATCAAGTATAGAAAGGGAAGGTCTCTCATGGAATGTTTGTCAGATTTGTTGATGAACTGTGCCGTTAGATTCGTGAACGGAAACGTGAAGGTGGGGAGGATGATTCCTACGATCGAGTACTCACCACGAATCGATTGACTTTGACCTTCGGTGTACGCGGCGACTCGGTCGTCTGTGAGCCGAGGGACTCGAAGCGAGCCCTGAGGCTGCTCGCCGACTCTATGCTCAATTGATCGCCTCCACTCTGTGCGATCTCCATCTCCGCGATATGCTGACTGCTGGACGTAGTCTTACCGTCTGTCTCTTCCCAATGCTCGAATTTCGCGCACAGCGTCTTCGCGCGAGCCGCTTTCTGCGCTTGTTTCAAAAACTCGTCCTCCACCTACAAAAACATTTTACAATTTTCATTGTCTCCAGTCTACGAAACATCTGCCATAACGTGTCATATTGATTCAAGTGTCGGGTGAGTAAGTCGTGGCCTTGTTCCTTCAAGAAGATTCATACATTCTCTCCGATAATGGCGAGAAAACGTGATCAAGTTTTCAACTTCTCAATTGAAGACGAATGAGTTGTTCGCGAATTCAGACAAGTATCATTGTAAGAACGACAAGTGTAATTACGAGAATGATTGAAAACAAGCTGCCAATTAGAACCAGACGACATTAACGACCCACGGTTTCCCACCGAACACTCATACATATTCATAGCCGATGGATCTCGCCACCTTGACATAACCATTTCAAAGAACAATGAAACGAACCTTGTCCGAAGCTCGCACGTAGTTCGGATCCCTTTCCTCCGCGGTGTCCTCTCCCTCGGTCTCCTCGCCGTCCTCCTCCTCCTCTTCCTCGGAATCCGAGGCCGATGGTTTCGCGAATTTGTCCTCCGGAGGTGGTGTGAACCGTTTCAAAGGTTTCGGACCATTCGGTACCTCCTTCTTACACGCGTTCTCTTCCATCTGTCGAAAGATCGACAGCATCTTCCTGGCCGTGTCGGTGTGCACCACTTCGTTCACTCTGTCGTCCGCTCTGACCACGTCTGGATCACGGTAGATCTCGCGTTCCGGGGATTCCATCTGTTAAAAAAATAATCATTTTTACTTGACGCTTGCAATAACGATTCATACTGTTCACTTGGTTTTCATGGATCAAAATCACTGCAAATTCATTCCTACTCCAGTTGCGAAGACAAAGTTTGTTACAACACATATGGTTAATTATTTTTCAAACCTGTAAACAACGAATTCTATGCCTATCGGGTATTATAATTACATTCGTATTATGCATTCGAAAGATGAAAAGATCAGACTGGGGATCGAAAGAATGAAGGTATTCCTTTCCACGAATCTCTGAGTCAGCTCGAATGGGTTTTGTGCGCGTCGTCCGACGGATTTCTACCTGAGCAGCAGGTAAAAGGACGCGATGACAATGCAGAATCGTTTCTCGATTTGCAATGGAACGTGTACCACAGGATATTACCTGCGTCGCCGTGAAAATACCAGCGAGAGGAATGTCGAGAAAAAAAAGATAGAAAATCAAATAAAAATCGTTGCACCCACGAACGTACTTACCGCGGATACGAAATTAACGAGAATAGGTTTCACTCTGTAGCGATCGGAGATTTATAGGTTTTACGCCGGGAGAAAGCTAATTAGTTCGAGTTGCCCGCGCGAATCTTTATTAATTACGTTTCGCCCGGTCTTATTTAAAAAGATACCTCCTTTCGCTCCTCGGATTCGTTGCTGCGCACGCGAGATAACGCGGGTAATCGCGACGATTAAAAGAGACCGATTGTCTCTTTTATCTAAAAAAGTCAATAGCAGAAGTGGGATTAACGCGATTTCCTCTTCGAAAACGATTATCGTTAATCGTCGCGATGATATCTCTGTTCAATCGAACCACTCCTGCAAACAATTTTATCCATCGGCTTCGACGATATTTATTTACGTAATAATATTATCGGTGATTTCAAGGTATTCGTTTCTACGGATTCACTGCACCGTTCAGTCCGAGCATCAGACCGAGGAAACGAAAATGATTTTTTCCTCCCAACGGCTAATCGATGGCCGAAGGAAAGCGCACGTATGCATATGCATTCGCACGTCAAGTATATCGACATTGTTGTACCGTTAGTCCCGCGAAGCGGATTCGAAAGCGTCCAATTTTCTACACCGATTACACATTTTTTTTTTTAAATTCCATACTATCGGTCACCCGGTAATTTTTTTTCACCGCCACAGAGTTGACATTTGTGATCGAACGAGCTTTCGCAAAACTCTGATGAATCATCACTCTGTCATTAAACTCCAATATGAAAAACGACAGAGTAATAATCGGGGAAGAGACGTTCATTTAGCCGCGGACGCAAATTATGAGCATAGCATCGCGCATATCCCTCTTCCTGCTCACTTTCCTCTGGCCTTGGAACCGAGCACGTTGCACCATAAAAATTAACCGTGCAAAAAGCTCCGTCTCAATGGAGCCGAGTCATGAGACCGAACATCCTGAATCTCATACGGATGTAAGGAAAATTATTCAAGAACAAATTGAAAATTCGTTTTTTCTATCCATCTGTCTGGAGTCTTAAACTGTATTCGAATTTGTTCCAAAGAATGACGCGACACCGTGAGTGAGAGAAATTTCGCCACTGTATCCGCGTGTTTTTCACAATTATTTTACTCACTGCGGCGTGTTGATCGACGTCGGGCGTTAACACGGTGAAAATTCGTCGGCACCGGCACGGAGTCGAGAAAAGAAGGGAAAAATCGAGAGAAGAGACGCACAGAAAGTCGCGAGGGAGCCTTTTGTTCCTAGGGCCCCGGCAAACTCCGAACTGGCAGCAGCGTGTCGGCGGTTGCTATGCCGTTCACACGAAGAGGACGTACCGCTCTTACCGTGTTCCCCCTTCGTGAGTTACTGGGAGGGCCAACACGGTGGTTGTGTGCACGTCTCTCTGTTCTCCGTTCACTCCTTCTCTCTCTCCCTGTTCACGAATGGAAGGATGTAGGAATACTAACGGTAAAAGTATGGCTGCTGACCACTCGAGGGGGTTCAAGGACAACCGTGGAATCGAGCCCCGCTCCTCCACCGATCGAGCTTTCCACCGACACTCCGTCGATCCCCTTTATCGATCATCGAGACGCGCAATCGCGTTCGGAGAAAGATCGATAAGCGCGTGAAAGTGATTATCGCGAAATTACACGGTCGTGATCGATCAGCTCTTGATTAGATACGATTCGCTATGAGTAATTTAGACTACTAAGAGGAGTGATTAAACGTCCGGGATGATCCATGCAGCGTTCGTTAAATATCGGTTGATCATGCAACGATTACGGAACACGAGACTGATATTAATCGCAGAAAACGAAATTCTTATTAAAGTGTTAAGATCGGGGAACCACTCTGCACACGGCTCGAACCTTGACTTGGCCGTCGCGAGGCGGGGTAATTCGGAACTGCTTCCGTTGTTTTTCCGGTTCCTTGTACGACTCGAAAAATTTGAATTTGTTCGATATGTCCGAGGTCTCAACTTGGACCTCTTCGGTGGCGTCCGAGCTGCGAACCACGTCTTCCGAGATTTGTCGTCCCATGAATGCCTTCGTTTACATTTCAAACGATTAACCCCGTCCCCCACGATTTTAAGAGCGAAGACCGACGGATCAAAACGAATAAAGACACTTACGTCTCTTGCGCGTCGCGGAGTCTCTCCGGGTGTCTTCGGGTTCACTGGAGTCACGGGTCTGCCGGTTTTCGCTGCTGTGGCGTCCAATTCCAGGAACAGAGACCGCGATTTCCTGCTGATTCCTAGATTATTGCAAAATTATTGACTTTGTCTCCTATCTTTCTTAACACCTTGAACGACAATTTATTTTCAGTCAGCACTTGAAAAAGAGGAAAGTTTATGACGAGCTGGACTCGTCATTTCCGTTCAAGGGGTTAATCGACGATTGATTCTTAACGTGTATCGATATCGTATCAATGAATGCATTTTTGGAACTCGATTTTTTTATCATATGCTAGATTACTTTCTGGTCGATTGAGGCATTGAACGATCGTTCTACGTGCGATTCTAGTAAACATTTCGAGACGCATGGTGTGAAATTCAGACGGGTCGGTGGACGGCGATCCACGCGGCTAATTACATTTAACGAGTTCTAAATATAGGTATAAGCTCGGTCGAAAATGCACCTGCTGCGATCACTTCCTCGTCAGCCTTCTCCGGTTTCGGTTTGCTGTCCGTCTCGTCGTCGGACGCGGCGATGGGCTCGCCGCGTTCGAACCGCTCTTTGATCGAACGAGCGTGGGTCGAGTGTTGGATCTCCTCCGCGGCGTTGATCTTCGTTACCCGCTCGCTTCCGGCTACCGCCTGCTGATACATCTCCTTCATTTTACCCTGTTTGCCCTGCAACAGAAATCGCGTTTCCGTTTGGTTAAACACGCGGTCTCTATATCCTTTGATCTTGCGACCAAGATTAACGTGTCTCGGCCAAATAGCTTTCCTTTGTAAACTAATTCTCATGATACGCGACGCAGGAAACTGAAACCGCAGTGCTCTTCTAATAATCTAAAAACGAATCTTCTGTCCATCTGTCATAATAATTACTCAGATCTCGTGTTCACTTTTCGTAGAACGTTTTAAGTCGAGTAAAAGATTTGTGCAATAAATTTTCCACGGTGCACCGTATTTTTTAGAATAAATTGGTCACTGAATTGTTTACGCGTACTTTGTTCTTAAAATACCGGATCCACAGAGGTTCGCCAACTGGATCGACTAAACGAGAATGATCGTTCGGCATCGCGACGCGTTCCTACGGTAATCGTTCCGCGCACGTGTTTGTTGCGAACCGCGTTCTAAAGAGAGAATGCGTGCGCTACATTTCCCTCGCTCGAACTTTTTCTGCGTCTACTGCGTCCGTCTAATGGGTCTCGATGCCATTACCCCGGACTACTTCGTCGGCGATTTAGATGCTCTCGAAATTAACTCGATCGTTTCTGCTTTAGAGAAGGAAACGCGCGCGAAACGTTAACGAAACATCGTTCAACGTATAATTTTATAATACCATGAACAATCTCGAGCGGATCCCAGCGATCTCTTCCTTCCTCGCCTCCCGCTGCACCTCGCGCTTGCCCTGCTGGCTGGTCGTCTCCCAACGATTCTTTATATCGTCCATTTTCGTGAAGCTGATCGGACGTTCGCGTGTAGCGCGTTTCGCCTTCACGATTTCCGTGTCCGCTTCTGGAAAATGCAAACAATCATTTCTAATTGATGAAACTATCGCCAGGAAGTCAATGTCTTAGGGAATCTTCGAAAATCCACGGAGACAGGATCATCGTTTATCATCGAACGCTTTAAAAAGTACCATTTACGAGTTTTAAACCGCTCGATCGTTTATCCTTACGGTCAGTTCCGTCGAGGAACGGAGGAAGGTCGTAAAAAGCTGGTTGTTTCTAAGGAGACACGGTCGCCGTGGGTCAGACAAAGGGAAGACAGAAGACAAGGGGGCCGATACGTAGAATCGCGATTTGAATTAAACGTTTCTGCGTTTGTCTCACCCTCAGTTTCCTCCGCCTCTTCCTCTTCCTCGCTCTCGCTCGACTCTTCGTAAGGGATCCCATTCAGCGACTCGTCCGCCACTCCGATGTCCATGCCTTTGGCCTGGAATCTGGACAAAAAGACGTGCAAAGTAGTCGCAAACATACCGGCCAGTTCTGATTGCTTGGCACACGGGCAACACCGTTTATGCGCTCGGAAAAGAAACCGCTGACGAATATGGATCGCCTGTCGCAATCAGGCATTAGCAAATTCATTATTCCTTCTACCGTTTTATGTTACCGTCCTAACTTCGCTCGCATATTTTCGAACGAATGACACACGATCGCGTTACCCCCACTGGTATTTCTCATGTTCAGTGTTATTCTTATTACTTCTGGCGCGATACCAAACGCCTTATGGACTTTTATTAAATACAAATTAAGAGAACTGTGTACGAATTGCACGTTCCGAGAGAACGTCGGCGCTAGTTGTGTCCATCTCATGAAGATGAATCTGTGTCACGGTCTGAAAACCATCTCTCGACACAAGTACGAATTATTATAATGACGTTTTTATCTATACGAGCTGTGTATGAATTTATGCAGATGAATCCTTAATTCAAGAATGAATTGTAATGCAATTTTTATTTACTTGGCGAGTTTGCTGAGAATGCTGGGCGACCTCTTGACGGCGATCTGTGACGGCGACCTTTCGATCTCGTTTGTCTCCGTGTTCGCCTTCTCGAACACTTGGAACCGGGACTTGACGTTCAGACTCGACAGCTCCTCGAGCCCCAGGTCCGGTTTGTCGGAGGCTGTAAACGGACAAACGGTTCTGGTTAAATATAATCTCGCGAATACGTACTCGAACAATCATTTCGATCGATGGAACACTTTTGTCTCGCGATGGTTATGGCATATCTAATGGTCCGACCGGCTCGAATGAGGTTCGGGAGTCTAGCCAAGCTTGTGATCAAATCGTTCAGTTCGCTCTAAAGAGGTTTACGAGTTAGTTGTCTGAATTGATGTGGACAATCTTAAGTCCGCTGTCATTAAAAAAGGAAATACGATTTAAACATTCCGTCGCGCGACGCTGACCCATTTTTAGCGAGGACTGAATTTAACGCTGATAGATCTGACAAAAGTATCTTTACAATTGCGGACCCGAGATTGCCACGGTACATTATCATGCAATGATGATTCTGACTACGACGTCCGTACGATCGACGACGACGACAAAAACGGAAACACCAAACAACCGATTATTAATGGTATAAAAAATAAAAGTAAACTGTAAGAGAAAACACATGAGAAATAATTTGTTAACGAATAGCCAGCGGTATTAAATGGGTGCACTCTGCAAACGGTTAGGCAGCTGTTAGAAAAATGATCACTCGGACGAGACTCATTGTCATCGAAAAAGTCCGTCGCTCTCTACCACCGCCAATGGCTATTACCTCTGACCACATCGGGCGGCAACTCTTTCGGCTCGTTCTCCCGTATGATCAGCTCCGGCTTTCGAGGTCGCACTACGGAGTTCACAAGACATCTCTTTGTCGCATTAACGATCTCTCTGCATTTACGTAATTATATAGAAGAGGGGAGGAACGGGAATAATAGAATGGACAGAGGGGGAAGGACAATAATTTCAACGCAGGGAGTCCCGCTTGGGAACACGTTCGAGCTTCTTTCACGTTCAGCTCGCGATCATGTTTACTCGTATCGTCCCCTGTGCACACTTTTATTCGTACAATCGTAGAAGCGCACTCCCTCTATTTGAATCCTCGTTTATAAATCGATTAGCTTTATAATTTTCATTGTGCAAAACTCATTTACGATAAAATACCAGCGACTTAGATACGAAAGCGAGTAGGTAGATTCGCGTAGCCGGGGGCTATTTCGAGGCGAGTTCCGCCTACGTCTCGCGAATCGCGAGAAAAGGGGGGAACCGGTGGCGCGTAAAACGGTGGTGATCGACTTACCAGGCTGGTCGGACTCTTCAACCGGTTTCGGTTGGAAGAGTTCCTTGAAGTGTGGCTTACAGTAAAGCGTGCTCTCGTGGCTCTCGTAATTGTCGACGTTCAGTTGCTTGCTACACTGGACGCACCGGAAGCAATTCTTGTGCCAGACGAGACCCTCGGCCTTTGTCTGTTCCATTTGGAACACGACCTTGCCGCAGCTACGGCAGTTCGGGTTCGTGTCACCATTCTGACCCACCTGCTGTCAAATTCGATTACGTATTAGTCCGGTGTGCCCTTTATTTTCATCGCATTCGTTCGTTTCGCTCCGATTGATTTCGAGCGAAACGAAATTGTGGGAACCGAATGGGAATGTTTAAGAGAATACATCGAAGACGCGTTTTGAATAAAAAAAAAAAAAATATAGCATAAGAAACAGTGATTCACGAATAGACTTTTTCTGCCGTTCCATTTGCTAATAAGAGAATTGATCCAGATTCCCGAGGCTGGTACGAGACGCGCAATTTGTATCGAGGAAAAAAGAGATTGTATTAATCAAAAGGTTGGAGCCCCTCAGCCGCTTCTCTTCGGACGAGCATCCTCTTTGTGTATCCTCGGGTTATGATAGAAGAACGTAGACGAGCTTGAGCGATCAATTCCGCGCGAACAGCTCGAAACAGAGAGGCTATTTACACGCTCTCCGCGGCTGAAGGGTTAAGTACGTCAATCTTAAAGTATCTCTCGGTCGAGAGAGAGAGAGAGAGAGAGAGAAGAAGAGACGCATGTATACGTCGGTGCTTACGGCGTTCAGCTGCTGTTGCACTTTGCCCGCGTCGATCGAGCGCACATGCAGCACCGTCTTCTTGCTGAGGGCGTCGAATTTGTTGAAGCTCGACTTCTGTAAGCACAAACATCGAAACGTCAGGCGAGAGTGCTCGGAGGCCTCCGACGTTGTTTCTAAAACGTCTCGGTAGGATACGTGTGTTTCACTCTACGGCTCGTTCAGCGTGAGCATAAAAGCGTGTACCCGATGATCGGAAAATACGTAGATATACATTGTTTCGATTAAATTCTTCTCTGAACCTTTGGTGCCCACGGTGAACAGCAATGATACCACGTGTTATAGCGTTGGGTGCGACCTAAGGTCTTAGGGTGGAATAATCTAATCGTGTGATCGTTTGCAAACTCATCAGGGTGAAACTTCTGTGTACATGGTGTAACTACGTCAGATGATGAGATGATAAGAGGCCCGTTTCAATCTCGGTGAGAGATAGTAGGTCCAAACCAAATCCAAAGTCCACGTCCAGAATCTTATTTCATGCAAGGTAAAAGCAAGATAGTAGCGTTCGCCGAGAGGAGAGGTGCCAATAGAGCTCGAAGAGCAGCGTGCCAAGCGAGAAAAGCAAGTCGAGAATTGAGGAGAGAATGATAGAAAGCTCCGACCGTAACGTTGTTATCTGTTCGGGAAGAGCTTACCTCGAGCCTCGGCCGATCCGTGTCCTTACCCTCGCTCGTTAAGTTTGCCAAACTACAGTAGGAAGCCCTCTGTCCCGAGGTCGTAAGTTTTCGGTTAAGGTTTCATGCATTCCGGGGCCGAGAGGGGGGCACCGAATAAAAATAAAGAAGCAGCACGGGCTGCGGGTTAGTAAATTATTTGAAGCCGTACCTTCATTCTCGAGTCAGACGGATCCAGCGGTTCGCCATCATTGCCAATGTTGGGATTTAGTGAAGGAGAGGAACAGTGGTGTGGACGAATCGCGTTTTTTCATTTAATTCCCATTGGCAATGCGTCAAGATGTAACGCGAAGGTCTGAAGGTGTCTTGACCAAGCGAATTAGGGCACGCATAATATACGCGTGTTAACTAAATTTTCAACCGAGAAGGGAAGTGGCTAATTGATGAACAAACACGGGGGAGGGATCCGAATCGATGGAGGCGACCGTGAAAGGTTATCGCCTCGCCTATTGGCTCCTCCGCTGGATCGCCGGAGAGATAAAAGAGGACGGAGGAGAGGATGTGAGCCACGAAGACAGCTGGAATCGAATGCGCCTTTCGTTTTGGCACGATCTCTGTGTACCTCTTTTGCTTTCTCCCGCACGACGCACGAATACGTGCTCGCCCTAGATAAATCGACATGCAAATCGAAACGACTCCGTTAACCCCTTTAACGCCCGGTTCCGTGTACGACCTTGAATTTATATGCCAATCACACATCCCTCGCCAGTGTGAAATTCGAAAATATTCTGTGTCGTAATTCTCGTCGCCGAGAGATCGAATCCGAGCCCCGAACGGGAAAGAGACGCGTCGAAAGTCGACGGAAAAACTAAAAGGAGCAGCCGGTTTAAAGAGATCGGGACGATTTCACTGCGCCGGAGAATTATGTCACTCGACTCGAAATCCGTAACCGGATAACCGATAAACGACGCACGACCGCTGCGAAAAACTCGCGAGAGAGGCCTCGATTCTTGCATCGGCGGGACGCGCAAAGTGGGGCAAATGAGTAGTAGGTTATTATCAAAGCCGGCCCTCCCTTAAATGGAGAGACAGCATTCACAGCGACCGATTCAACGGCAAAACACGCTCCGCTTCTACTACACGACCGCTCCGCGTACTCGACCGCATCGCTCACGTGCAAACTCCCGCTTCGCTCCTCCTTACGCATCGGTTTTACAATTTTAGATCACGAACCACTATACTTTTCATCGATTTTGCAGAAATAAAAACTACGCAGTTAAATTTCATCGTACAGCACCGAAACAAAATGATTCCTTTACCGGCGTAGAATCGATCGAAAGAATTTTATGAGTCGACTCGAATTGTTTTATCGAGCATGATATTCGAGCTGTCTCCGATGTCGCCAAACAGGTTCACGAAAGGTACTTACGAGGGCCTTGACCGACACCCCGGTGAAGACGAGCGCATCTCTGGTGAACTTCGAGTAACCCCTCTCGCATACTCGTAGATCACCCAGCGATCTTGCTTTCTACGATCGTTCAATGAGAGCGTTCAATGGGAACGAAAGATTAGAAGCAAAACTTGGTTGGTATCGAGCTTTGCGAACTTTCCACGATCTCTTTCCTCGAGAAATACGATAAAGGCAAGTTGAAACGGTTCCACAAAGCTCGCTACGATTATTAGTACTGTTATAAATTGTTTGTTCGTCTTCCTAATGCCACACGAAGCGAAATCACGGAAGTACAAACTAGCTCATGCAGTAATAACTGTTAATAGGGCTGTCATTCCTTCTGTCGTGCGACACATCGGATGCCGAGCGTACGCTCGCAAACCATAATCGTCTCCGTACGTTAAGGATGTATAGGCTATTAAACAATGCTAGCATGTTGAATTTGTTATTATAAATTCCTATTACTATTAAAAAGCTACGTGCAAAATTTTAAATCAATTCATGGATTTTTTGACAAATTATAGTGACTTA